GAACTATAGATTTCCAGGCGATCTATGCGCTCAATGCGTGAAACGGAACGCACCCTTAGGCCGGTATTCATAGTCAGTTCTTATTTCAAGACCGTCTTAAGTAATGTCTTAAGATGCTAATACGGCTCTGTGATTGGTTTAGGACATCTTAAGATTGTGCTTAAGACGGTCTTAAATATAAGAACTGACTATGAATACCGACCTACATATCAAAGATTGAAATTTGACAATCAGGATAAAAAAAACTAAAATTTCCTTGTCCTGATTGGTCAAATTTCAATCTCAATGCATAGCCTGATACGGGCTTTAAGGGTGCCGTCCCATGTCAGTCGGAAATTCGGAAAACGGAATCTCGGAAAAGTAATAGAGTGAGGATCAACCAAACAAAATTATTTGAAGAAATAGCGATTTATTTAACTTGAAGACTATAGGTATGTAAGTTATGCTCTTCAACGTTTATTGCAATATTTTAGTTAAATACAAAAGATTATCGGAATTGAATTTGTATGTGTATAAGAAGAATGTCATTATTAATAAATAATTGTTTGATAAGTATTCATAAATATTCAATTTTCTATCATATAAATAGTTAAAAATTATCGGTCCGGAATTTTTGTGGCTGATTTTCCCATAGACTAATATTTCCGGAATTCGGCTAATATTTCTGAAATCGAAAAATTTATTTTTATCGTTTTATGATAACAAAATAATTACTATAGTAGAAGAATCCATAAAAAAGTAAAATTTGCATGTATTTTTCATTATAACAGAAGGTAATGAAGAAATGTTCTAAATTAAAAGACGATTCGAGATTAAAATAGCATTCCGTTTTCCGTAAAAGTCACTCCATGGGAAACGAGGCCACCACAAAGTCGGATTGGCAAAAGAATAATCATAGCAAGCAAATATATAATTAGTATTAAATATTAAATAAATAATTTTTAAATAAAATTATTTATAATAATAAAATTATTTATAAATATTAAATAAAATTAATTTTTGTAGTGAAATTGTTCATTTTTTTCTATTATATAATTTTACAAAATAATATACATATATATTGTTGTACCTTCTCCCGGAGACGAATACAGCAGATTCATGAATAACCGCCTTAGACGACCCGCAGGGACGCAACAATATATTCTTTATTTTATTAAAAAATTATAATGGACTTAATAATGCTAATGCTAAGAACGGAGGGCGGTCCTCAGCGAAGCTCCATTTACGGCACGCAGACAAAGTCCATTGTGCCTCTCCGATAAGCGATCCCTCAGTTCAGGCCCAATCTCCTACAAAAGAGGAGGAGAGTCCTGCCTGGGAGATCACCCACCTGCTGGGACTCCAGGAAAGCAGAGACCAGCAGTACCAGTCTGACCCTGGCATAGGCCGGGCAGTCACACAGCACATGGAGGCTGGTTTCCTCCGGTGCGTCACATTTCCTGCAGTTGGGCCTCATACTGATGCCCAATTTCTGCAGGTGGTAATTGAGAGTGCCGTGTCCCGTGAGAATGCGAGTTACTAGCCCGGCCTCTCGTCTACTTAGTTTTTTGATGCTGCTGGCGAGGTCCTCTCTCAGAGAATCTCCAAGGAGAGCCTTCGCCTGCCTGCATTCGGCCGCGCCCCTCCAGGAGGCCAAATGCTGGTTCCGCAGCCAGCGACCAATCTCCCTTTTGCCTAGACTGCGAGGGATTCAGATCACCGGTCCCACCAACGCAGTCTCCGAGCCAGCTCTAGCAAGCTGGTCGGCCGCCTTATTGCCCTTGATACCAGAGTGCCCAGGCACCCAGATCAGAGCAACCTCGTTGTCCCTCGCAAGTTCTCCCAGGGTGCCTCTGCATTCCCAGACCAGTTTGGAGGTAGTAATCGGAGCACTAAGGGTCCTCAGAGCCGCCTGGCTGTCCGAGCAGATGCTGATGCGCTGGCCCCTCTCTTTATTAGCGAGAAGTCCTTGTGCACAGCACAAGATCGCCACTATCTCCGCTTGGAAGACCGTGGCAAATTCACCGAGTGGGATGGATTCACCGCCCCATCCTGAAAATAGGATGAGAAAGGACTCCGTCGGGAAGTTTAGTGTGCCTGGTGCCGGCTCTCCATTTTCCCTCACAGCTGAGACGGTAAGCCGCTGATGCAGCAGCGGCGACGACCGTGTGGCAAAGTGGCTCAATACCGAGCAGCACTCCCATAACCGCAGTTGGCGTGGTTCTCATAGCCCCTCTTAAAATAAGAGCCATCAGGTGCTCCAGCGATATTTTCGCCAACGCTAGCTGTATCCTAGGCCACCATACTACTGCAGCATACAGCAGCTTAGGTCTAAGAATGGCAGTATAAATCCAGTAGACCATTCCCGGCCTGAGGCCCCAGGTCTGGCCAAAGGAGTTTCTGCACAGCCAGAAATAAGAGGTTACACTCTTACACCGATTGTCCAGGTGCTCCTTCCATGTCAGCTTCCTGTCTAGGATGACTCCCAGATATTTCACTGACACGGCCGGTGTCAACCTGATGCCTCCCAAGGTGGGCCCCACTACAGTGCCCAGCTTGTATCTGCGAGTGAATATGACCAGCTCCATCTTCCGGGGATTGACCGAAAGGCCAGTCACAACCACTCCTCTACCGTTCCAAGAGCACTCTGCGTGAGTTCCAGGAGCGTGTCCAGAAAGGGTCCTCGCACGATAATTGCCGGATCGTCGGCGTATCCCTGCGCAAAGAAACTCTTATCATTAAGTTTGTTAAGTAGTCTATCGACTACTAAGCACCAAAGAAGTGGAGAGAGCACTCCGCCCTGCGGGCACTCTCGATCCACCCAACCGCCGACCAGTGATGCCAGAAACGGGTCCCGCGGCTTACGGCTCAGCAATGGAAGAGGTAACGCACACAAGCGCGAACCGCGTACATGTGCCACATGTCTTTTACAGACAAGATATTTCTTACACACTTTTCTTTTACAGTTCTTTTTCAGAAAATTTAAAATCATCATTACATACATATTTTAGAAGCTCTGGTTTCAAAAAGTGTTTACAAACTATTATTAAAAGCTCTACTGATTTTGGCTGCAATAAATGAATTCTTGCTTCCAGAGCTTGGAAAAATGCATTGAAAGAATTAAAAAAATTCAAGGTTTCCTGAAAACATTCGCTAAATTCTTGATAAATAGCAGCATGCTTGGGACTGCTGTTAATATAATTCGCCATCTTTTTTAAAGATTCTTCACAATATTCCGGTATTTTTGCACATGCGGCATGTGCAGCAAATGCAGCGGAATAACAGACGCATTGTCGCATGATAGGGCAACGATATTTAAAAATGGAATGTTTAATTTCCACATTTCACATTTGAATGCATTAAATAATTTTCCCTCCTTCGCGCTGCTATTTCTCGCATCAATATTAATTAATTTAACTAATTGCGTGCAAATATCTAATGTTTCAGTGTATGCATGTATATAATATATATTTCTAACTGTTTTAATACATATAACAATTAATAATATTTTATTTTTACAGAAGAAATAAATGACAATATGCAGCAAGACGCAGCAGCAGCCGAAAAATAATAAAAATGGTAAATTATTTATTTTTTATTATTAATTTATTAATTCATATGCATGATTATATTATTTATTTATTTATTATTTATCAATGTATATCTTTATGTTTCACACAAAGGAAAAAAAAGAGGAGGCGGTCGGTCTCGTGCTCGCTAGTACAACCAGCGAGCAGGGTGGGACATACGTGGCGGCTAGACCGGTAGAGGCGGCCCTGCAGGCGGTTCGGCTAGTAGAGGCGGCCCTGGAGGTGGCCGGGCCAGTAGAAGAGAAATGAGGAGCAGAGGCCGAGGAGTTATGAGGGGCCGAAGTGGCCCCAATATCATTAAAAATTTTTACATAAGATATTAAAAAAATAAAAAAATAATAAATAATTCTGTAATTATTTATATACACCCTACATTTTTCCCATTTATCCCTCTTGCTCTCAGGTACAATATAATATTATATAATGTGGTATAATAGGGTTTTAGGCGAAGATCCACATTAAAAAATCTAACGCGCCATTGGTGATATCCCATGGGTGGTGTGGAAAAACACTATTCGTAATTTTCAGCTCATTCATTATGTATGACACACAAACGTACATGTGGTCAATATATGTTTGTATGTCGTTATTGTGTTAAAAATGTGTATATATATAAAAAATAATATGACAAAACGATTTATTTTCATCCTGAATACATAACACTAAACAGTATACATATAATATTTAATTAATTTAATAATTTAATGAAACATATATTTTAAAAAATTCCATTCAATTCGAAATTAATTAATTTCACTTAAATACGTGAGCGACTCATTCGCTATGTAGGCTGTAAAAAGAATATTTAACGCTGTCATATATATCAAGAATCAAGAAGCGAGCAACATCGTCCGTCGCGTCGCCCGTACGCCCGTCGCTATAGTTGCCGGCTCGATAGGAAGGAGAGAGACAGAAAACAGTATATTTGTCCTCTTCTGCCATCCGAAGTTAGCCGAAGCTCACACGTACGCGGTTTGCGCTTGTCCGCGTTATCCCTTCCACCTCGGTTGCATGTTGCTCGCGTCTCAATTCTGGCATCACTGGCGCCGTCTCCGTAGAGTAGCCCATCCTGTAGACATGTTGACCTCGACCAGCTTCTCCAACGTTTTCAAAAGAAATGACGTCAGGGTGATCAATCTGAAATCCTTGGCAGAGGTGCAGCAGGTCCTGCCGACTTTAGGTATAAATACCACCCTCGCCAGCCTTCAAGCTCTGGGCGTGTAGCCCAGAGCAAGACAAGCTCTCAGGGTCCGCGTGAGCGGCCCACTGATCTGCCCGAGCCCCTCTTGTAGGAGCGCCGGAAAAATCCCATCCGGTCCAGCGGACTTAAATGGTTTAAAGGTTTTGACAGCCTACGGTCCCGGTCCCCACCAAGAGATCTTCTTATTAGAGCGAACTGCTCTCGCTGGACAATTATTTTCGAAGCTGCCCACTAAAGCCCTTTGTAGATGATCTACGCAGAGCTCTACCTCAGCAGCGGTCCCGTGCCTCTTAGGGAAGCCACGAAGACCATTGGAGAAATCTTCTCGAAACGAGTCCCAATCCGTCCTTTTCGGATTTCTTCTATAGATTGTTTCAGTCCTCACATTGGCAAGCCTGAAGACGATCTGCCTGTGATCAGAGAGAGAGGGCTCCGATGAGACCTGCCACCCGACAATCTCCGGAACCAAATTGTTCGAGCATAGAGTAAGGTCAAGTACTTCACGCCTAAGCACATTCTGAAATGTTGGTTCGTTGCCCCTGTTCAGGATCTCCAGGTTAGTGGCCACCAGGTACTCCAGAAGCCTTCTGCCCCGATTGTTAATATTGGTGTTCCCCCAAACTGTGTGGTGCCCATTAGCATCGCACCCCACTATAAGCGGCAGCCCCTTATCTTGGCAGTAGTCCACCAGTCTAGCCACAGGTCCTGGCGGAAGCGAGCCCTCCTCTTCATGTGGGAAATACGCTGAGCTCACCACCACCTTCCTGGTCTCGCCTGTGGTGAATCTGAGGAAATCCACCGTAACTGCCACAACGTCCCTGGAACAATATTCCGGTATGAGTTGCGCTTCTAGTCCCTTGACCGCAATCGCGGCCCTTGGACTGGGCTCTGTGGGGGGCTTGAAAAGCCTACCACAGGCCGCAATGTCCCTAATGCAGCCCCTGTATACTTAGGATTCCTGCATTAGGTAAATACCTGTGTGCACCACAGCCATGCTCCTGGCCAAAACAGCCGAGGCGCCCCTGCTGTGGTGCAAATTGATTTGGGTGAATCCCACCGTCGCCATGCCCACTTTATTGAGGGCCCGACGCTGGCTTCTCCCTGCCCCGTCGCCTCACTACGAGCTCCGAGCAGACCCACAGTGATATGCTCGAGCCCATAGCTAAGCCTAAAGTCCGACGCCCTCAACTTGAGGACACTCTACTCCGGGATGCCAAGAATGAAGTTCCTCACTTCTGGGGAAGCCCCAACATTCTCGGCAAAAACCTGCCAACCAGCCGTGACGCTGCCCGGATTCTGCCTCTCCAGCAGCCTCAGGACCGCCGCCGCAGGCACCGGAGGACCCGGAACCCAAACAGCCGTCCTGTGCTACTTTTGAAGCGCATCCAAGCCCACCACCCTGAGCTTGGCACCCTCCCAGGGAGAGATGTGCCCAATTCGCTCCGAGAGTCAATTGAGCGCTAACTCATCCTCTCCTTTAATGACTACGGCGCCGTTACGCAGCACCGCAGTCCCCGTGAAGCGAGGCAGGGGACCCTCTCGGATCACCGCCAGCTCACTGACCACCGTTCCCCGCAGCAAATTCAACTGCTCAGGAGTCACCGCCTGTTTGGTGTAGCCTCCTGCACGATTGCTCTCGCCAAGGGGTCCGCGGCAGAGACGTAGGGCCCAGTAGTCTGAGCCCTAGACCTCTTCATCGCTTTCTGCACTGAAGGAGGGGTATCAACGGAGCCCGTCCGGCACCTTTTGCCGGTGTGCCCCTTCTCCACGCCCTTCGGAGTTTCTCCGAGAGTCCCAGAGGAAGAGGGATCTGACCCGGCTAAGGCCATCCCCCTGTCCCTCTTGGCCCTCCTCTTCTCGGCTCCACAGCGATTCCTCTTACGAGAAACCGCTGCTTCGCCGACGCCAGCCCCGTTCCCTTCCGGGCCCTGAGGAGCCTGTTTGGGAGTCGAAGCCGCCACCCCTGAAGGTGGGGGCCCTCGCGAGCCCTAATCCTCAGTCCCCCCAAGACATTCATCAATATTTAGTTTTACAAAATCATCCATAATAGGTCCCACAAGAAGCTAGGGAACTAAAGTCCGCCCGGGCAGAGCCCCGCATGCCCGGGTAAGGCTAAATACTCTGGGGTTTCGCCCGGTGCCCCAGAAGCATCGTTCGCGGCACTGCAGCCTTCGCCACAATAGCTCCCAGCTTGGCTTGGGGAGTCGGTCCGCGGCAGTAGCCTTCCCAGCCCCAGACAGGGTTTTACGCTCGCGGGACCGGTTATAGCCACTACTGCCCAGGAGTCTACTCGGGTAGTCAAACCCGGAGGCAGCCTGGGCGTCCTTCTATCCGCCGCCCGAAGATGCGCCCGATAGGCGCTCAATCCATGGGTGTAATGGACTTATTAACAATTAATTTTTAACAAAAAATATAAATAAATAAGGCCTTTACGAGCAATATATGGATGAACAATTTAGTTTTAATTTTAATTTATTACATAAAAATTGTGGGACGTTTCGACACTCTACTTGTGTCTCCTCAGCCACTCAAAAACTTAACAATAAGGCGCCCGGCGCAAGATCAATCATACCTCATGGTTTGATCAATACAACGTATATATGGCATCCTTCACCTCTATCAGCGGTCGCAAATGTGCTCCTCATGTGGTCCATTGACTTTGAATTTTAAGTGAAGTTATTGTGTTTTTACAGATGAAATCGAACGTCATGTTGGTAAAATTTGTTTGTATTGCAATGCATAGTCAGTTATTATCTGTCAATATTTTACAACATTATTATTATATATAAACCAATATTACAATCAAATGCAAAAATCACTTACAATTTTTATTCCTACTAGTTAAACGAAAGAACAATATTATGTAAAGGAAGTTATCTAGCGCTGTCACTGACTCGAAATGAGAGATACAAGCATTGTGTGGATCTTTTATATGTTTTGTCAAATGTCAAACACGCAGACGCAAAATGTGAGACTCGCTATTTAAGATTTTGGAACATCAAGCAACGGAAAGTATGCATGGTCTAACAATTCTGTTTCCTCCATGATATTAAGGCCGTTTCTTTGTTTTTTTATGAAAATCGCCTCTGATATTAATCTTTTGTGATAATTGGATTCTTGATCCAAAATCTTAACATTGTCCCAACCCATATGATGGTTTATTTCAATTACGTGTTGAGAAACCACTGATTGTTTTTTGTTAAGTTTATGTTCATTAATTCGGGTTTTTATGTGCCTCTTTGTTTGTCCTACATATGACGCATCGCATTCAGTACACCCAATTTTGTATATGACGTTTTTATTACAATAAGCAGGACTAACGTCCTTGTGGACTCTAATGAAACGGTTGAGGCGATTAAAACATTTGAATCCAGTGGCAACATCGATGTTTTTGAAAGATACAGAAATTGATTCGGAGAGACCTTTAATGTAGGGTAACGCTATGAATTTTTTGTGGTTGTTGTTGTCTGTGCCATTGTTTACCATTTTAAATTGGAAAGGCAATCAAATAGTTGAAAACTGTTTTTTACATAGCCGCAAGCTAGTGGCAAACTGTCGTTTAAGATCTTGTGCAAAAAATTACCGATTGCATATAATGGGCTATTGATGGAGGAAACTATGATGCGTAACGGATAGCCTGTTTTATGAATTTTTGGAATACCGTAGGCTTTAGGCAGTAGGCCATCACTTGATTTAAGATAATGGTACAATCGTATAGAAATGTATTTTTTATCTAGGAACTTTTTTAACATGTTATTAATGTCAGATTCGATTTTTTTGATTGGATTTTTTTTAACAGTAATGTATGTGTCTTTGTCGCTCAGCATCTCATTAATGTAAGAAATGTATTTATCTCTGTTCATGGCTACAGTTGTATTGCCTTTGTCGGCTCTCGTGAAAATAATATTATTATTTTCTTTAGTGAAATTGACCGTTGATCTGTACAAACTGATAAGAGAAATGTCAACAGGTAGAAATGTAGGTTTTTTATTTTTAATATTTTGCTACTGCTGGACAGCTTTGTTTCTAATCATGAGCTTTGTATTATTGTCTAATTTTTTTTTCTTAGCCAGAGCTTTATTTTCTATGTCTTGTAAAACAATGTCCGCTATGATGGGGGACAATGGCGAACCCATGCAGGGGTGCCAAATGTTTGTTTGTAAATGTTATTGTCAAACGTCCGGGGTTAATGACAGATAGCCATATAGAGTCCACAAGGACGTTAGTCCTGCTTATTGTAATAAAAACGTCATATACAAATCTGAGTGTACTGATTGCGATGCGTCATATGTAGGACAAACAAAGAGGCAATTAAAAACCCGAATTAATAAACATAAACTTAACAAAAAACAATCAGTGGTTTCCCAACACGTAATTGAAATAAACCATCATATGGATTGGGACAATGTTAAGATTTTGGATCAAGAATCCAATTATCACAAAAGATTAATATCAGAGGCGATTTTCATAAAAAAACAAAGAAACGGCCTTAATATCATGGAGGAAACAGAATTGTTAGACCATGCATACTTTCCGTTGCTTGATGTTCCAAAATCTTAAATAGCGAGTCTCACATTTTGCGTCTGCGTGTTTGACATTTGACAAAACATATAAAAGATCCACACAATGCCTGTATTTCTCATTTCGAGACTTTCCACTTTATATTTACACATTAAAAAGTATATGCGTGGAGACAGTATGTTCCGTCCCCCTGCGGGGGGGCTCTACTATTAAAAAACTATACACATAAGTTTGCGTTGAACTTCGCTTTGCGTGGAAAATGGAAAAATTCAAGGAGCTTCGTTCCCGAAATGTAAACAAACACTTTTTCCACATCTGATTTACACAAATACAACAAAAACAAACTTTATTTTTTCTTATTTTATAACACAAAAAGCATTAAAACGGTGAAACTTTAAAATTGCATATCTCTGGAACCAGAAGAGAGTACCACAAAATTCAAAGTGCTTATTGCTTAGGAATGTGCCCTCTATAATATATGTGAAAATGAAAACGATTCGTGAAGTGTAAATTAATCTGAACATTTACCCTTTTTTCTATTATTTACAGCATCGTGAGACGAAAAATTTTGCCGTCAATTTGCTCTAAACTTTTTGACAAACCAAAACAAGACAAATGTTTGCTAGACAATTGTTGTCAAAATTAAAGCACACCTTGACGCAAAGCTTTGGTAAAACGTGATTTTAATATTCTTGGCTATCTAGGTATGCTACGACCATATCCTCGATCAAGTAATTTAAATTTGGAAAAAAAAGTATTTAATTACAGACTTAGTCGGACTCGAGGAATAATCGAATGTTCTTTCGGAATTTTATCGGCAAGATGGCGAATTTTTTGATGACCATTAGCAACTACCGTAGAAAATGCAATTTCTGTAATCCAAGCAATTTGGTTACACATTTTTTTAATGAAAAAAGATTTAAACGTATCTTTAGAACAAAGACAATACGCTATCAATATTAATTAACTTACAAGACATGGATAATTCTAGCCAAATATTACATTTGGAAAGTATAGATAATTAATATATATATACATATATATACAGGGTGGTCCTCGTAACGGTCGCCACGATTTTTAAGGCACTTACAATAATCTGACATAAAAAAGTCATAAACAGAAATTTATCAGTTTCTAACCGGCAACAAATTGCAATAATAAAAATACAAAGAGAGATGATGCGCTGTCTTTGTCTCTCTTTCATCGCGTATGTGTGTAGCGTCGTCTATAATAAAAATACTTTATTATAGTGTTTTGGAAAGCTTTTGGGATAAGCTATAAGAATATGTAATAAAAAATGGGGAGTTCCATTTAAGAAAACATCGACCACATTGACCTCACCTTGAAAAGACCACTTAAGGTCAAATCCATATTTTTATCATGTGGCCCCCTCGAAACCATGCAACTTTTGTCTGAAACATTTTTTGATATCTCACTTCGTTTCCGAAAAATATGCCCGCGTCACTATAAATGCCGCACCCTGTATATATCGTGAATTATTATAGATCAAATAATAATATTTTACAAATATTTCATAATGTTCAT